GTTGGGGCGATACTGCGAAGAATCTGCAAAACTTTATTTTGGCCTGTCAACGAGAGATTTACGGAAGCTTGCTTATCAGTTTGCTATAAAAAACAAATGCAAATTTCCTGATGGCTGGAAAGAAAGTGACATGGCTAGCGAGGATTGGCTTACTGCCTTTTTGAAGCGTAATCCAACATTATCTATCCGGACACCTGAATCAACTAGTCTAGCAAGGGCTATGAATTTTAATCCAGAAAATGTTGGCAAGTTTTTTGACAACTTGAGCGACGTAATGGAAAGGCATAATTTTGAACCCCACAATATTTTTAATGTCGATGAGACTGGTTGTACAACCGTCCAAAAACCCAATAAAGTGATTTCATTAAAAGGTGTCAAACAAGTTGGTGCCATCACTTCTCAGGAAAGAGGGACACTAGTGACAATGTGCTTTGCCATCAATGCTCTAGGTAATAGTATTCCTCCCATGTTTGTGTTTCCATTAGTGCGATACCATGATCATTTTGTGCGAGACGGACCAGACAGTTGCATTGGAAGTGCAAACAGAAGTGGGTGGATGCAAGAAGAGGATTTTTTAATTTTTATTAAACATTTCGCAAAGTTTTCCAAACCTTCCGAAACCAACAGAGTGCTACTAATTTTAGACAACCACGCCTCTCATTTGTATTTACCAGTGATTGACTTTTGTAGAGACAATTATATTACCCTACTTTCGTTCCCCCCTCACACCTCACACAAGTTACAACCATTAGATCGTGGTGTCTATGGGCCGTTTAAGAAATTTTACAATAATTCTTGCGATCAATGGATGAAAAATAATCCTGGTAAAAGAATGACGATGTACAATATTCCGAGCATAGCTAGGGAGGCCATTCAATTGGCCGCAGTTCCCAAAAATATTACTTCCGGTTTCAGGTGTTGTGGAATATGGCCCTTTAATAGAAACATCTTCTCGGACGACGAATTTGCTCCATCTAGCGTTACGGACAGGCCATTAAATACCGCATCAGCCGTTGGCGAAAAAGAAGCCATATTGTGTCCTGCGAGCACATCAACAAGTTCCATTGAAATGCCTCTAAATGATGCCAATCTTAATATCATCAATATTCCATGTGAACCTAGCACACCCCCTAAAACATCGCCCATTCCACCAGCTGCGTTTTATTCTCCTGAAGAAATTCGTCCCTTGCTGAAGGCTGATTTTTCGAAGCCAGTGAAAACGAACAAGAGGGCGAAAGGAAAAACGGCAATTTTAACGGATACGCCCGAGAAGAATTTAATAGAGGAGAAGTTTAACAAAAAAAAGGTAGTCGCGGTCACCAAAAAATTACATGGTTCCCAGACAAAGAAGAAAAACAAACAAACAATAAAAAGAAAAGTGTCAGAAAATTTATCATCATCTGAAGATGACAGTATTTGTATAGTTTGCTTGGGACCCTACAAAGAAAGCAAAGAAGATTGGTTGCAGTGCAGAAATTGCAAGGAATGGGCACACTGTAGTTGTGCGGGTAACAATGCGTTATTTGTTTGCAAAAATTGCGATTCAGATGCAGATTAGGTATGCTGTAGTGTAGGACTTTTATTGTTTTCTTTCGTATAAAATTTTATTTTTGTTTTTGTTTACTTTTAACATGAATAAATAAGCATGAACTATTCTTCTTTATGCATTTTCTGTGTGTTACAATTAACACCACGCATGTTACAATTTACACCAAAGCGGTGTTAAATGTAACACATTCCTTTCTTTCAAATAACTTTTTTTTTTACAAATATGACATTATGATAACGAAACACTTTACAAAATTAGGAAAAGAAACGAGCATTGTGTGTTTTAATTGGCATACGGACTAATTTCCTTTATAATTGAATGTACAAAAAAATATTAAGTACATTTTGTTACTTTCTACACCGGTCTCCCCTAAATAGGTAGGGGAGACTGGGGAGGGTTGATACGTTTTTTAGAAAAAAATTAATAAATATTTTATAATCATCATTTGCTAATCCATTTATGTCAGAGCTCAATTTAGAGACATTGCTTAGAAATTTGGGAACATTAAATTACTGAAAATTAAATATTTAACTTTGAATAGGTATACAATTTTGAAATTCTCGATGCAAAGTGTCTCAAACCTCCCTATACAAGGGAGGCTTGATACATTGAATGGGAGGTTTGATACAATAAGAAATTAAATATAAAACACTAAAAGGACTGCAATCTATTATTATCAGAACATTATTTAATTAGTACAGGCGGTAAGTGCATCGGTCTAAACATTTTGGGGGGGAAAGCTGGATTTTGTTGAAATGTCTCAAGTTAGGTGTCCCGAATAACGTACTAAAAGTCCAGACCCCCAACTGCGCCGCTCATCGACCTGTGGCACGTTTTTGCCCCCCGAAATCAGTTTTTCGTTAATATCTCGAAATGTAGCAGACTTAGAGAAAAACTTTTGAAACAAAAAATGTTCCTCGTAAAATTTCCTACACGATAGCTTACTTGCAAGTTAGTCCAGGCCTAACCGATAGCCTACAGCGTTGGTTTGAGTAGTCTAATATTGAGTTCTTTGATGATTTTTTGTACTTATGGTTGTATGGACGCCTAAATTGATGAAAGACGTACTTCTCACTTATTGTACCATAGGATAGCCGATTTGAACGTTAATTTAAGAAATTTCATCAACATTCTGTTTCCTCTCCATTTTTGCACCTGATGAAAGCATCGGTAGGCGTGGAGACTGAATGCAGCGGCAGTAGGCGACGCTCAACGTATGAGACGTACTTCTGACATGTTACCTTGTATGTCTCACCTCGCTCCCACAGAATTTTACGAAGCAGGAAGCCACCATCAATACCGTAAGTTGACTTAGTTTTATCATATTGAGTCAAATCACTCTCTGGGAAGATTTTATAGAGTGTAGATTTGACACATTTTCGCATCCCTTTCTCGTCAAACAGCGCCAAGGGGTATGGTGCCAATTCATACTCCAGGTATTTCTTCAGTTGAGCGTCACTTTTCTTCAAAATTGAAATCCTTTTAAACAGTATTAACGGATCCACCAGACGGTTTTCATCGCGCACTTTCATTGTGTTGAGAGCTTTCATGGTGATCACGCAGTCGCTTCTTCTCATTTTAACGGCTGAAAATTTCATTCCATGAAATAGAAAGAGTGTACACTGCAGGTAGACTGACATATGACCCTGTTCTCTGTCTATTCACTGCAGGAAATTCGCGAAAAACTCGATATTAGACTACTCAAATGAACGCTGTAGGCTAACGGTTAGGCCTGGGCTAACTTGCAAATAAGCTATCGTGTAGGAAATTTTACGTGGAACATTTTTTGTTTCAAAAGTTTTTCTCTAAGTCTGCTACATTTTCGAGATATTAACGAAAAACTGATTTCGGGGGGCAAAAACGTGCCACAGCTCGATGAGCGGCGCAGTTGGGGGTCTAGACTTTTAGTACGTTATTCGGGACACCTAACCTGAGACATTTCAACAAAGTCCAGCTTTCCCCCCCAAAATGTTCAGATTGACGTTTTTTGTGTACTTATCGCCTGTACTATTAATACATAATTCACAAGAAAACATTTTTGTATTATGCTTGACATCAGCACAGGCTGAATGGCACCATCTGAGACACTTCTGGCATTGGATCCACTTTTCTCTAGAACGAGACGCTGAAAATAGTGAATTTCAGTAGATGCAAGCGGCATCGTCATCGTCATCTGCATCAGAAAATGGATCCTTTTCGTCCTCAGAATCCGAGTCACCGAACACACGTTTTTCTGTTTTTGCATTTCTATCCAAAACTTTTCTTTTGGGTTGGGATTCCGTACTCTCAGCATTGAGTTTTTCAAAGTGATTATTTTCTCCAGTTTCACTACTTATTTTTCGTTTAGCCATTTCAACTTTAGTTTTCATACGTTTTTTTCCTTCCCTCATCTTATACTCGGCCTCAATGGCCTCTTTTTCTGGGGTGTCGGTTAAGATTCTTGTCCGACCAGGCTTTCTGCCTCCTTTTTTCAATCGTGGTTGTGCCTTGGGATAAGGACGAACTTCTTCAGGAGTTTTAAATGAAACAGATGAGGTGCTTTGGATTGTGGTGCTATCCTGTAGAAACGTTTCTATTGGATTTGAAGTTGACTTCTGTTGACATAAAGAGGTGCCAGGTGGTGGTGTTGTCTCTTGCTGAGATATGGATGTGCCAGGTTGAGCTATTGGGTCATCTCTATCGAGTTCTTTTTCAGAATTTTCCCTTAATTCCTCATATGGTCTGTTTGTAACTTCTGCTCCTGCGAAATCGAGATCTTCAAATAAATGTGGGTTAAAAGGATAAATTCCAGTGGTTGAAAATCCCTTGGTTATATTTGATGGCGAGAACGCCCTGACATAGGCTAATCCAACTAATTCCGGTATATTTTTTAATGAAATTGTTTGTCCTGGATGGCTGACCATCCATGCATCTGCCTGTTCATTATAATATCTTTTAAACGGACCAAAAACCGATACATCTAAAGGTTGTAAGCGGTGGCTTGTGTGAGGTGGTAAAGTTAGTAAATGAATGCCATTTAACTTACATTTGTCTAAGGCTTTGGGTGAAATATGGCTTTCGTGATTGTCAAGGACTAATATGCATTTGTTTTCATTGGAACATTTTGCGTGTTTTATGAAGTGATCTAGATATTTTACGAAATTATCAGCAGTCATCCAACCACTTTCATGCGTCACAGCAATGGAACCTGAAGGAGCACCTTGGATCATGTAATCCTGCATTCTCACACGAGGAAATATAAAAAATGGCGGCACAGAATTTCCTACTGCATTTATAGCACAACAAACTGTTACCAGAGTACCACGTTCTGCTGAAGTACTTTTTGAAATTTGTTTTTGGCCTTTACGCGCAATGATCTTTTGAGGTTTGTGGGCAGTAGTCACTCCAGTTTCATCTAAGTTGTACACGGATTCTGGGCCAAAAGTTTCCCGTTCCAATAAATTGCTCAAATTTTTGTAAAATTCTTGCACATTATGTCGATTGAACGCAGTGGCTCTGCCCAAACTAGTGGCTTCGGGACTTCTGAGTGATAATTGGGGATAACGTGACATGAATCCTTTTAGCCAATCGTAGGAAGCACATTCGTTTTTCTTCCAGTTTTCTGGTAGCTTTTTGTTATTTGCTTGACCAAATTCATACGCAAACTTCCTTGTTTGCTTAGGCGTAAGACCATAGTGGAGGTTGGCAGAAGTGAGCAAATATTCCACTAAAAGCGATTCTTCGTGACATGAAAAAATTTGTGAAGTGACAAAATTTGGTGTAAAAGATGTTTCTTTGTCCGTCTTGTATTTTAGGACATATCTTCTCAGTGTCATTTTGTCAACATTGTACTTTTTGGCAGTAGTCCTCAGTGCTTTATTTTCATTTACTACTTCAATAACTGCGCTTTTTAAATCGTCTGGAGAATAGTTTGTGCGACCTTTAGATTTCCATTTAAACGGCATCTATAACAATATACACAGAGAGAAATTTTGTGTTTGGTGTATCAATTGAAAATATGTTAACAATTTAAAGCTGGCAGAAACTCAATTTAGTTTATTCTAACAATACCATGGTGTTTATGTAGCAATATAATGTAAATACTGTATGCACGGATAATATGGTGACGATGGTTGTAAACTAACCAACAAAGACAATTTTACTCATTAATACCTTTTGTTGATAAGTTGAAAGAATGGGGTTTGGAGGACTTGATTGAAATTTTTTCTCGTAAGTACCCGATACATTTACCTATATTTTTAAGAATTATGCCTTCTATCTATATCTAAAACGCGAAATTGCACATTTCAATTTTTAAGAAAAATGTTATACCTCCATTGCTTTTTATCACGCGTTCAACGTTCCTATTGCCATTGTGGTTTGCAAAATTTTTGTTTACAACGGTTTGCAGTGTGCAATTTCTACTCATTGTATGAACTTCCTTGTTTGATATACTTACTTAGTTTAACGACCTACCGTTTTTTTTTTAGAAAACCAAATCGACAACGAAGTTTTTTTAAATTTAACGGAGTCGATGATTAAGGAATTAATTCCACAAGTGGGATTACGGTATAAATTTTCGAAAAATTATAATAACATATTCGGCAATTCTCTAATAATTGTAAGTCAAACCCTAGGCCAAGCTCTTAATTTTCATTACAACTGTGATTCTGAAATAATAACCACGACAACATTTTTCGCTGTGCATAATTGTTTTTCTACGTCTAATATAAACTTTTAATTCAAGTTGCGATTGTTTTACGTCGAATAAGTGGGTACTTTGCTTCAATTCGTCGCCCTTAATACATTTGGAATTTGGAAATGTACAAATTATTTCATTTGATACAAGAAAGCAAAATTATAAATAGGTGTTTTTATCAAAAAAATAAAGAAAAATGTAGTACTTTCGGGAACTCATTTCTTCGACCTGTTAAAATTTAGTTAATGTACCTGAAATCCGAAAACGTAATATGATCAACTGTGGTTATTGTTTCCTGAACAGTGTGTTTGTGGTGGTCAAAACCCTGCTATTTTATTGTTTGTAGGGTACTGATGAGGAACCATTGTCTTCCTCATCAAGTAGGTACATGTACAATTACATCAGCTGATGTAAATGATCAAATAACGACTTTGTTTCTTCCGGTACCATCCAGCTCAATTGATGATGCATTAGGTAAGTGTACATATCATTTTGTTAAAGTTAACTTCTATAGTATATTTACCTAGATACATCAAATCCACAATTTGGACATATTAATCCGCAAGGTGATGCGGACGTAAACACAGATTTGCGCCAACTACTGGAAAAAGAGCGAGTACGGGGAAAGGAAATTTTACAAAGTTACAAACTCTTCAAAACATTTAATAGGTCTACACTAGCAGATATTATCATAGAAAATCAGTTAAAAGATGACCCCAATGCAAGGTATACCTATGTAATTATTCAAAGCGAGTAGCTAATGATGTGTTGATTTTTAGAATTAATTGCGCTACGTTTACGGAGATATCCCAAAAAATAGCCCAAACATTTCCTGGAGAGTTAGCAGGATCATATTATATTCCATACTGTAAATCTTCCGATGGAAGGGTATATCGACAGCTAAGGGGATTTTATGGGATAAATATGTAAATAAAAGGCGCAATTTTCGACGACTACAAATAATCACAAAGAAATCCAATACATCTACCATCACTTGTAAGTGTTATTTGTATAGACTATATAATAAGATTTCTTTATTCTGTAGCACCTGTTCAACAAAGTGAAAATGACAATATTTCAAGTGAGGAACTTCAGGAGTTGGACACATGGCTGCGCAACAATGTAATGCCGTGGAATCTTGTCATAGAAAATTGGCAAAAAACGCTCCGAATTAGACAAAAATTTGAAACAATAGACACTTATTTCCGAGACTATCCTTCTTTAAGGCAACCTTCTGGGTATTTGTTGGTAGGAATTAATTTACTGAAAATAGGTACCTACGTGAACTTTTTTTTTAGTTGGAACTTGACTTTGACGCATTATTTACTGGAAAAGGAAACCACTTACTAAATAAGTGGCTAAATTTTTCCGAGCGGATACTTAAACTAGTAGAAACAAAAAAAGACAACACAACAGGCAAAAATTTTCTGAAGAACTATAATTACCAATCATATAATGAAAGTAAGTTTGTATTTATGTTAATTTAATAGTGTAACTAAAGTTACTTGTTTGTTTTAGGACAAAAAGAAGTATTGGGATTTGCATTATTACCGCTAATTATACCACCCTGTCCCATTAAATAAAAAAAAAGTGGTACGCGATACAAACCTTCGAAAGTAGAAACACAAGAAGCATTTTGTTGTATTATAGAGGTAGTTAAAATTATTTGTTAAGTTAAATTAAATATATATTTTTAGGATATTAGCAAATTAGAAGAAAAGTTGGAGAGTCGAAGGAATAAACTCTTAACTTTTGGTGAAACATTACAACCATCCGTAGTTTTAGTTGGAACTGTAGACGGAATTACATCTTCTTACGTAATCATCAATGACACTCAATATAAATTGGAAACACCAATGAAAGCTGTAGATGTCTGTTTCAAGGTATATCATGCAACTAATGCCAAGTATCCAATAGAAGCGGAACATATTTGGACGTTTATACAGCAATATATTTATGAAATTTATACGCCATCGGATAGATCGTTTGTAAGTTTGAATGCATTCACTTCAGATATAAATAGCATAGTAACCTAAGAAAATGAAATGTTTTAAGTGCAAATGTGAACTAAGCTCAAACACTTTACTTCTTTCACATTTAAAGCATGTGCATTATTTAAAACACCAAGATATTCATAAGTGTATTGACTGCAATCGAACATACAGTAACTTAAATGCATTCAAAAAGCATTTAAATAAAAATCACGTTTTGATATCTAATTCTACTTTAAGGGAGGCTACTCCTTTAGACAGTGCAATAAGTTTGGATGTTCCATTGAATCAATCAATTAATTTGCTAGATAACGTTAACCATGAGTCAGTACATTCACCACATGATTTTGTAACCCCCCTTTATCCAAAAAATAACATAGACATTAATGCAGAATGCCTTAAATTAGTTAGTAGTTTATACTGCCATTCTTACGTTAATCGTAATTCTGTTCAAATATTTGTTGAAAGTATTAAACGATTCATTGACGATTTTTATGTGCCAGTTTTAATTGAAAAAATCAACAGCTATGTAACTTCCAATGTAGACCAAGATAAGAATTTCATTATTGATGGTTTAATACATATGATATCTTACTTTAAAAATCCATTTGATGGCCTTGGAACTGAATACAAAAGATTCAAGACTTTTGAAAACACGAGATTTTTTATAAAACCTGTCAATTAGGTAGGTATATAATTGGCCAGAGAAGTCATTTCAAAGTTCTTGACGGTGTTGGGTGTTTAATTCCAGAACCAGTTCATGCTAAATTTATTCCTTTACGGCAAATATTCAGTGCACTTTTTCAGTTACCCAATTTTTTGTTAGACGTGAGGGCATATAGGTATCCAAACTTTGGACAAGGATTCATTTGTTTTAACCAGCTTTGTTCAAAGCAATATTTGGCAACAAAAACTGCTTCAGCATAATAACAAAACTGTACTTCCACTATTTATTTATTTTGATGATTACGAAGCGGGGAATCCTCTGGGATCTCATAGTGGTAAGAACAAGTTAGGAGCAGTGTATGTTTCGATTCCCTGCATACCGCCTCAATTTCAAGCACGTTTAAAAAACATTTTTTTTAACATTACTCTTCTACAGCAATGATAGAAAAGAATTTGGGAATTCTGCAATATTTCAAATTTTAATCGATGAACTCATATTTTTGCAGTCTGTTGGAATCCTTATAGATATCAACGGCCAAGGTGAAAGAATTTACTTTGCATTAGGACTTGTTTTGGGAGATAACTTAGGTTTGCATTCACTGTTAGGAATGGTGGAGAGTTTCTCCGCTACGTATCATTGCAGGTTTTGTTTAGCGACAAAAAATCATTGTAAGAATCTATGTAAAGAAGACGTAAATTTGTTAAGAACTAAATCTTGGTATGATGAACATATAAAGCCTGACACACTTGATTTAGGAATCAAAGAAATATGCATTTTTAATCAAATTAACGGTTTTCATTTTTCAGAAAATTATGCTGTTGATATCATGCATGACGTGTTAGAAGGTGTCTGTAATTACGTAATGACTGCAATACTACAAAAATTCATACTAGATTTAAAACTATTTAGCCTAGAAATATTAAATTACAGAATAAAAACTTTTAATTTCGGTATTCATGATATTAATAGACCCCCACGTATAAACAGGGAATCGTTAAACACTAAACTGAGAATGTCTGCCTCAGAAATCTTAAGCTTTTGTCGATATTTTGGACTAATAATTGGCGATATGATTCCACGCAATAACCACATTTGGCAAACGTACTTGTTGTTAAAAAAATTACTAGACATTATTCTTTCACCAATACTTCACCGCAATACCTATATTGTGTTGAATGATTTAATATTAGATTTTCTTACGAATTGTATTGATGTACTCCATTTAACATTGAAACCAAAATTCCATCATTTAATACATTATGGAAGAGTATTTCGTATGTCTGGTCCTTTGATGTTACATTGGTCAATGAGATTCGAGGCCACACATAGGGAGTCGAAGCTGCTAACATTTCTTGTTAAAAAAAAAATCTACTCGAAACTATTTGCACAAAACATCAGTTAAAATTATGCCACTTTTTATTGTCAGCCGAGTTTTTAAAAGACAATTTTAATCACGGCTTTATTACTGAAGCAAACACACACGATTTTGCAATATTTTCTGGAACAAATTTTACAAATGTAGTTACAACAAAGTGGGTTGAATTAAAAGGTACAATTTACAAACCATCAGTTACATTAATAACAAGTTTTGAAAATGATGGCTGTCCAACATTTGGAGAAATAGTAGAAATATTTATTATAAATGACAAAGTTTGGTTTCTGTTAAACAAATATAGCACTGAACGATTTAATGAACATTATCATTCGTATGAGGTACAAAATACTTTAGGAGAAAAATTGATAGAATATTCAAAGTTGTTATGTACAACACCATGCCTTTTGACTAAAAAAGATAGTAAGTTTTTTGTAACAATAAGATGAATTACTTAAACAACGTTTTGAATAATGTACATTGTTTTAGGAGTGTATATACTTAATCCTAGTTTATAAGGTTTCATTATTATATATGAATTAGAATAAGTTTATTTTGTTTTTTGTTATAAAATTAATATTACGTTTTATAAAAATATTATGTAACAGTATTATTACCTAACAATAAAAGATATATATTTTACAATTTTTTATTTTTTCATTTAAAATAGTATTTTGTTGGTTCAACAATAATTATTTTACTTTCGGTAATATCTTAATTTCACACAAAAGTAAAGTTTGTTGTATTGGAATTTCAAAGTACTGACTCTTACATAAATGATGGGTGTTATACCAATAAATTTATTTACCGCAGTCAAAAAATTTCTTCCAATATCAAAAACTAATGTGTACCTAGTCAAAACACATTCACACATTGCACCAACAACACAGATTGTGTTTTTTACAATAATATATGTTTAGAAAAGCTATTTTATTACTATATAAAATACCTAAAAGGATTGTTGGAATATGGTTTCCTATAGTTTGACGTAGGGGAGCGGCGTACAATATCGACCAGCGGGCAATTTCGACCACCCTATTATTAGAGAAACGATAATGCTGGCAACATCCTCAAATGCTGTTTGGGTTGTCTATCTCTCGGTACACGCACGTGGTATGCAGATTCAGTGACAGTTTTGTTGTATGAAGGTTTCGCGTTGTGAAATTTGTTTTGGGTGATTTTCTTATAAAGTATACAGCATATTCAATAAGGTAGGTAATTTCTAATGTTGCTAGTTTTTTACTTCTTTTGATATAGAATGTTTACTACACATTGATGAAATATATCAGTAAAAATATGAGCTTCAAATGTTGAGGTTAGGATGATTTTTTTAAACAAATATTTGGCTTTGTCAAGGCGGGTAATATCGACCGCAATGGTCGGTATTACCCGCTGGTGATCGAAATTACCCGTCGTTTGGACAGTTAATTAAACAACGTGTTTTTTTCAGATGCCAAGAAATTACGTGCGTAAAACAGCTCGATCGTCGTGGAATGAAGCAGACATAGCTCGCGCTTTAAAAGCGGTAGACAAAAAACAAACCTCAATACGGAATATTGCCAAATTATTCAACATTCCATATGGCACCTTGCAAGATCGCTTGAAGAGTCGATACCCAGCACAAAAGATTAAACTTGGAAGAAAATCAGTATTTTCGGAAGCACAAGAAGCAGAACTAAGTAACTACGTTTTGAAATTAGCAAATCTGTATTACGGACTTACTCCAAAACAAATCAGACAAATTGCTTTTGAATTTGCAGCGTCTAACAACATCAAACATAATTTTAATTGTGACAAGAAAATGTGCGGAAAAGAATGGCTGTATGGGTTTTTACGCCGTAATCCTCAAATTTCTTTAAGACGACCCGAGGCAACTAGTTTAAACAGAGTGCTTGCGTTCAATCGCACTGCTGTAAATTTATTTTATGACAACCTGGAGCAAGTTATGGAAAAACATCATTTCCTTCCAAATAGGATTTTCAATGTAGACGAAACAGGTATAACTACGGTGCATAAACCCTCTCGTGTACTTGCACAGAAAGGCCGTAAGCAAGTCGGAGCGATCACAAGTGGAGAGCGTGGACAAACCACTACAGTGGTTTGTTGCATGAGTGCCTCAGGTGCTTATGTGCCTCCCTTATTCATTTTCAAACGAGAAAGGATGAAGGAAGGGCTTGACAGAAACGGACCAGTTGGATCCATATATCGGTGTTCCAGTTCCGGTTGGATCACTGAAGATTTGTTTTTGGAATGGTTGCAGCATTTTGCGGTATTCACGAAAGTTTCAAAGGAGGATCCAGTTTTACTGATTTTAGACAATCATTGTACACATTCCGGTTTAAAATCTTACAATTTTTGTCGTGAAAACGGCATTGTGATCGTTTCATTGCCACCTCACACATCGCATCGACTTCAACCCCTCGATGTAACATTTTTTAGTTCGTTGAAAGGAGCATACAGTCAAGAATGCGACCAATACATGAAATCCAACCATTTTGTTCAGATTGTTGTGACAAAGATTGCAGAATTATTCGCCAAAGCTTATAACCGAATAACTACAACTGAAAAGGGAATAAAAGGATTTGAGGTTACAGGAATCTTTCCCCTCAACAGGAATATCTTTGGCGAAGAGGAGTTTGTGAATACTGCCCCAGAAAATGAAACGCTTCCTCAAAACGATGATCATGGTCCTATGCAAGAACCCATGGCACCCATTAGCCCGGAAAATGAAACTGTTCCTGAAGATTTAAACGATGATCGTGATTTGATTCAAGAACCTATCCCCGGTCCCAGTGGCATTCAAAGAAAGAAAACGCGGAAGCGGATTCCATCGAAATATTCTCGAGCAGCGCGGCACTCTTCATCCTCAAGTGACGACTCTGATTCACAGCTTACTACAGTTTTCGATCCGGAGGCAACTGATGATGAAGACCAGTCCATACGGTTCAACAAGTCACTTGAAGAAATTTATGAAATTCCTAAACCGAAAGCATTGAGGAGCAGCAATAGAAAGAAGCAGACGTCTAAAATCCTTACTTCTACTCCACTGAAAGGAGAATTAGAAAAAAAAGAATTAGAACGGGCTAAAAAAATGCAAAAAAAAACAGCATCGGTTAAGAGGAAAGTGGATTTGGATGGTCCAGCCAAAACCAAGAAGATAAAACTTACACATTCTAAACTCGAGCCTGAATTGGAGAAGAAAACTGACGATGTTTGTCCAGTTTGTGGCGATTTTGGAATATCCGAAACATGGTGGAGATGTCGTGGATGCGCTGTATGGTCGCACTCAGCATGCACAGAATTTGACCGACCAGAAGATTTCAAAAAGTGCGTCAAATGTGATGGGAAAAGCGAATAAAAAAATGGCCGATATTTCCCACCTTAGTGGTCGATATTCCCCGTGGCGGTGGGTAATATCGACCAAAAAATATTTTTTGTTTTTATGTAAAATTTGATAGTTTTAGTTGGACACTTTTGTTCGTATATCCTCAGATGGTAAGAACTGTACCATACTATGTGTTTATGAAATAAAAACGTCAAAAATCCAGAGAGTTTTATTTTAATTCGGGCAATGGTCTTAGGTGGTCGATATTAGAACACCTTCCCCTAACTACAATATATGTGGTGGCAGTACTATTTTATATTTGTTAATTAAAGGTATGATGGTGCTAATCCTCCAATGTAATGAACCAAGATACTGATTGGTGCCTAAACAAGAAAATATTGGTGTCACACGTTTACCCACAACTTGTTGCTCATGTACCTACAGTTGTGTTTTAAGTAACAACTTATTTTTTCCTGTGTTTGCAGTGCACAATACGCGTAATATGTATTACACATTTATAAAGGTTTTGTATATAATAAACCTCAATTTAATTTGATATTGATTTACCACAATAAAAACACGTGTTAAAATTAATACGTCACTTGGGCTGAAGCAACATTAGTCGTGTTCGATTCACGTGATTTAGATCAGTTCATTTTCACTTCGGTCAGGGAGCGAACTGATTTGATTATACTTTGAATAGAACGACGAAAAATAGTTTGACAGTTGACAGTTGTATTAGTTTGTTTATTTATTTTTGAGGTTAACATTAAAGGTTTTTTTTTCGTGTTTTTATATTATTGTTGTTATTAAAATGGATAAAATACTATTTGACTACGTATTTGAAGTAAGTATAACGAAACTATCCTTTCCAAATTAGAAATGGTATTTTATAGAGTGACAGCACATCTTCTTCAGAGCTGTTGTCGACATCCACAGATGATGAATCTGACGAGTTTGAGAATGTTAATCAAACTGTTAAAATAGAAAATTATGTCCAGAAGACTGTATCTAATTATTCGGACGAGACCTTCAGAAGGCATTTCCGTGTGAATAGACCTGCGTTTCAACTCCTTCAAGGTTTGTTCTATTATCCTTCTATTACGATCGATTTATACAAGAAATCACTGTAACTGTATTATAAGTAGTACATGTTTCAGATTTAATTACGGGATTGTACAAGGACAACATAGGTGGTTGTGATAGAGTTCCTGCGGATGCTGCCATGCTAATGTGTTTATGGTAGGTACTTAGCAAATCAAGAAACTTATAGACAACTTGCGGATCGCTTTGGAGTATCAAGAAGCACTGCACATAAAGTGGTTAACACTGTAATTGATATCTTGATGGAGCATGTACATAAGTTTATAAAATGGCCAAGTGAAACCCAGTATTACCACATAGCCTCTGAGTTTCAAGACAAGAAACAATTAACAAATATTATAGGTGCGATTGATTGTTCACACATTGAGATAAATAAACCAAAAGTTAATCAAGTAGATTATTGTAATCGAAAAGGTTATCATAGCGTCATATTACAAGGGGTTGTAAATTGCCAAAAGAAATTTATAGATATTTATTGTGGAGAACCAGGCTCCTTACATGATGCCAGAGTTTTTAAAAAGTCAAAGTTATACAAGAAAATTTTAGACAATCCTTGTTTTTTAAAAGAATATAGAATTATTGGAGATTCTGCATATCCAGCATCATCATGGTTGGTAACTCCCCATAAAGACAACGGTAATCTCAATCCTACTCAAAAAGAGTTTAATTACAATCATTCTGCAACCAGAATTGTTGTTGAAAATGCCTTCGGGCTTCTAAAAGGAAGGTTTAGGCGACTTCAACGATTTAATAATATAAACATAAATTTCATTGTTAAATGTATTACTGTTGCATGTATGATAGGTACACAACCTTTGTATTAGTCATAATGATAACGTTACTGAAACTGATTTTGAATATGTAGATATGTAGGTAATTTATCAATATATGCATTCATTATTTTGTAAGGTATAGTGTCTAGATTGTATTTTAAGTGGTTTACGAAATTTAGGGTAACTCAAATACACTGAACACTGCATAGGAAATTTATGTGAACAAATTTATTTAAAATAATGACTACAGTAAAAGACAAGAACAAAAATTTTTCAAGTACAACTTCAGTTACACCTTAGATCTCGTTCGTTACAAACATAATTATATACAATTTTCTATAAAATGTTCAATATATTTCTACAAATAAAAAGGTATAATACAAATCACTGCTATTAAGACAAAGATATTAAAAAAAAATAACAACATTGGCAACATAGGTAATAAGATAGTAAGTAGTTATTGCTTTCTTAAGTATTCGACATACTTCTCAAATGCAACAACTTTTCTTTCTTCCAACTCCCGCTTGCGTTCCCTATCATTTCTTCTTGCTGCAATTTCTTGTCTCCACATATTGAATTTTTCTTCTTGCAATGAATTCTTTTTCTTTAAATATTCCGCATAAATAGAGGATCTTGGTTTTTTTTTCGGTGTTTCCGTTTCAGTTGCACGACTTGTACTTGGCGTTGGTTCAGGGGTTGTTGCTGTGACATTGCCAAGATTCTCAGGCCGCTCCATTTCTGCACCTACAGAAATGGTATGTGCACATGACATTGATGGTTTGTTGCCAAGAATATCATTCATGGCTTCATAATATTGAAATCGAGTGGCACCTCTTCCCGATTTTGTAACATTGTCCCTTACTGTTTTGTAAGTACGGACCAAATTTCTCCACTTAATTTCGCATGATTTTGGAGTGCGATGAATGCCCTGACTTAATAATAAATTACTAACATCATCCCAAACATGTTTGCGTTTTTTTGGATGGTCGAAATTTTCTTTTAGGTTGTCATATGCATGCATTAAGGCCAAAATCTCATTATTACTCCAAAATGCACGGTCTGCCTGTACTTGGGTTTCATTGTCACTATAAATAAGAACATTGTTAGCATTTATTCGATTTACTATTAGTACTTACTTACGGTGTGGCAACTCCTGCTTGGGGCTCGACGTCGGTTTGAGACTCGACGACGACTTGGGTCTCATCCATTTGCGACTCGTCCATTTACGTTTGAGCATCAATATTGAATATCTCCGACTCTCTGTAATAAGTAATTGTAAGTACATTATCAATTAAAGTGGTTAGCTATAACCCCTTACTCATTATTTTCATATACGCGGCTAATAGACCTTATGGCTTCACTTGTCGGAATATTTACCAATTCACCACAATTATGTAGGGTGTGTAATTGTTGAATAGCAATGTCATCATTATCTGGAATTCAAAATTATAACTTCTTGAAGTACCTCTATCATACACCAACTTACTTGTTACATCAAAACATAACTCATTCAAAGCTGCGGGTATACACAAAGTAATTGGAACATTGTTCACTTTTGCTTTGACAGTATCCATCTTTATAGGTTAAAATAAACAAAGCGATCCTACTGAATTAACTGAATGCAAATTTTTCTACAATCACTTTGAAGTGATCCAATCAGTTGTTTCAGTGGTGGGGGTGAACTGATTGAAACAGACACGAACGCTGTAGGATCACTTTTAGTTACTTAAATTAGTACAATCAGGTGAATCGAACACGCCTATTAAAGAATGAGCTTGAGCATGAGCAGAACTTAAAATTGACGAACCACGAATGAGGGCGGAGATAGGAATGAATGGCGCTTTGGCGCCAAGGTTTAAATCAAAGCGAAAGTCTTACCACAACGGGCGGCAAGCGTAACTGTATATAATTTGTTCTCAATAAAACCAAATGAGCCAGCTATTTACAGAGTACACCTACGTTAAAGAATAAATTACCCACGCTTTACCAGAATCTGCATCTACGCACGTTTAGTGAACTCTACACAACAAATTCACATAACAGCATAGGTACATAGGGTAAGGTCGGCTATATCGTACCACTTTCAAGTTTATTGGGTATAGTTAAAATTTATGTCTAGATATCGTAAAAGATCAAATTTATTTAATTTCGTCATTAATTTGAAATTTGACTTGCAATACATCCATTTTTAACTTTTTTAATAAACATAACCATTAATTCAACATGCAACGTGCCAACCAACTGTACTCCATTGACAACGCACTATTGAGATCAGCTGATACAACTCGCGCAATTCGAGTGTCGACCTAGCGCAGATTTTTTCCGTCCAATGGATTTCGCTATTACTGTGGCAACCTTATACCAACTTTCTAGAAATACGCCGTAAGCAAACTTTCTAAAGTTAGCTAACAAAAGTTAACTTTCAAGAAACTACTTTAAGTTATAAGAAAGTTAATATTGTAGGGGAGACCGGGTACGATTGTACCAATTTAGATGTATCTATGATTTTTTTTCACTTAAAATATGATATTGTCTAATATTCAACTTGCACTCCGTGGAAGAGTAAGTACTGGGACACAGTTATAAATTATTATGATTACCTAGAGTGCGGATAAAAATGCATTTATTTTTATAAAATAAGCGCTTATTATATGCATCAAAACGGGCAAAAAAAGCTAAAAAAAAGGCAAAGTAAGCAAACAAATGCACAATCAACCATCCACACAAAAAAAACCTGTATTCCTCAATAAAACATGATTATGATGAAACTAACTCTAATTATCGGAAAAACAATTAGCAATTATGTATTTCTCCAAATTTGCAATTAAAATTTTTGCCTTCGGTCCGATAAAATATTTTTATAGACGGAAAAGCTTCTCTCGACATCTGCAGAGGTAATTGGTGCAAATTTAAAGAATTTAAAGTTTAATGGTGCTGAAGTATGTGCTTCTAAATCTTCAACGAAATTTCCGTTTAGCTTTTTGGAGATTTTCGAAAGAATATGAAAACCAGAATTTTTTGTTAGCACGTCCTCTAATTTCTTCTGAACTATATCGGCTATTAGACCGTTTATCTTATTTGTGTCTCTTTGAAAATCTACGATTTTAATTGATTCGTCAAGTGGCAAATTTTGGGATTCTAATTTTTTACAGTGCGCTATTCATTAAAAAAATGCAAATCCCAACATTCTTGCCACATTAAGTTAATATGCGAGATATTATTCTAATCTCAGTGTAGAAATGTAAAAAAAGCAAGAAAAAGCGTTTAAAGGCATTTAAAGCACCATTGTTAAAAAAAAGCAAAAAAGGCAAAATAAAAATAGCCCCAAACGCTTTCTTTTTTCATAAAACGTGTATATCCAAAACCATTATGTTCTGCATTCAACATTAACGTGTAGGCAAAATGCCATAAATCCGCACTCTAATTATGATACCTTTATCATAAGTGGAAAGAAAATTATAGTCTTAGGGAACAAAAGTGGGATAATGGTACAAATGACCCCTGCTCTTGGTCAATTGTACCAGCGATAGGGGACGGTTGTAACAAATAGAATCAATCTCTATTTCGTAAAAATAAAGTAAAAAATAGAAGCAAGCATGCCTACAAAAATAAAAACACAAAGATTCAAGTTATATTTTCTTATTGGAGACTCATATAGGTACTTATTATTCAGAATCACAATTGTGACAAGTATAAAATAATGTATGTTCTGCACCGATGCATTCTTCATGTGCCCACAATTTACATTGGGTGCACTGGATCCATTTTTCCCCCCCTCTACTGTTGCTGTATGGTTCAATACAAATTAAACAATAGCATTCATCGTCTTCACTGTCAGAAACTATTATCTTCTGCCTTTTTTTTGGCGCGCGTTTATTTTTGGAGTCTCCTGTTAGATTTTCTTTGGCTCGCTTAGCGCGAGCTTCATTAATTTCATTTTCTATCTCTATTTTTTCTGGGGTGTCTGTGTATATTGCCGACTTTCGCTTTTTCTTTCCTTTCGTTCCAATCTTTCTAGGCGCCGCTTTAGAAAATGGTCTCACTTCTTCAGGTGAAAAGACAATGGCATCTGGTGTAGATGCTATTGATGGAACTGTAATGTCTCGTAAAGGGCCCCTGTTTGGTATAGGAGTCGTTGGTTCTGTCACTGATTTAGTACCTAGCAGGTAAATTTTCAATGTCTGGAACATTATCTGTGGATGTGGAAGGAATTGGAGAATTTTCTCGGCCTGTTGTATCAGTAATTGAATCTTGAATTTTTGGTGCTGGTCTATCAGTTACAAAAGAAGGACCGAAGTCTAAATCCGAAAAGATCTCTCTATTAAATGGGTAAATACCTGTGCACCTAAACCCGGCCTGAATGTTATTTTGTGTAAAAGCCAAGGGAGCTGCAGTGGCCACAATACCCGGTATGTCGTATATGGTCATTGGTCTCCCTGGATGATTTCTAATCCATGCTTCGCATGCAGCATTTACTGCTTTTTTTAATGGACCATATACCGAGCGGTCAAGGGGCTGCAATTTATGAGAGCAGTGAGGTGGAAAAGAAACCATGATGATCCCGTTCTTTTTACAAAAGTCTAGTGATTCTATGGTTATATGGGAAGCATGGTTGTCTAATAGTAATAAGACTTTATGTGACAACGATGAATTCGTATGATTTTGAAAATGCTTCAAAAATATTATAAATTCCTTTTCTTGCATCCATCCGGAGCCGTTACCAGCACCAATACAACCTAAGGGTCCATCACGCACAAAATGTTCGTGATATCTTAGTCGAGGAAATATAAACATGACTGGAGTAGAATTTCCCAATGCATTAATTGCCACAGTAAGAGTTACTAGAGTACCACGTTCAGCCGATGTCAATGCACCAACCTGTTTTGTTCCAGTTTTAGCTACAATTCTATTTGGTTTTTGAACTGTGGTAATTCCAGTTTCGTCTACGTTATATATGTCCTTGGCTTCGAATTTTTCACGATCCATAACTTTTGCGAGGTTATCAAAGAACAATTTAACGTTTGCAGGATTAAAGCTGGTGGCTCTGGAAAGGCTTGTTGCTTGTGGAGTTCTGATAGATAAATCCGGGTGTCTCCTCATGAATCCCGAAAACCAGTCCTCACCAGCTAAGCCATTCTCATTCCAGTTTGCTGGACATTTTAAATTGTATTTCGTTGCCAGCTGTAGTGCTAATTTCCGAATATCCTTGGGACACAATCCTTGATATATCGTCGCCGCCTTCTTGATATACTTGACCATTTCATTTTCATGTTCAACAGAAAATACCCTATTGGCTGGTTTATACCCCATACTCACATTTACAGTCCCTTCTACACCACTACTACACTGAAAAAACAGTGTCTGTAAATTTACCATAATAATCATTGGTTTATTTCTTGCCTATTTTCCTGACATGATGTAATCGAATCAAATACAGCAATCATGTAACATTAGGTACATATTTTTTACCATATTACATGTAAAAGTCATCTTTAAAATTAATTGTGTTGTGGTATGTTCATATGGGTATTTACTCGTGCTCCGTAAAACTACACAGTATCTTTCCAGTATACTTGTAATTTTCTCTTTTAATTTCACCAGGAATTTTACATTTTTTGTGCAAAAATTTGGTGGCAAATTGATAGTGGGCAATTTTCAATAAAATATTGATATAAGGAGACCATATTATGTTATCAAAAATCTCTAAACCTTCCCCATATAGTTTTATTCGTTGAAGTTTTTAAAAAAATAACAGCGACTATAGTTTCGGCGTACTGCCATCATCAGGCGATGTGAAAGTTAACAGGAAAACGGTAAATTACAAACGTTGAGGCAAGTATGGTTGAACCAGATGTTGAGTGATGCTCTTTTCAATTTTCTGCTAAGTTTGATGAATTGATGGATTGTTGAAGCTCGGTTGGCGAAGAAATTTTGAGTTGGATCCATCGTTCAACCCCCATTTCGAGGAACGATGGATCCAACTCAAAATTTCTTCGCCAACCGAGCTTCAACAATCCATCAATTCATCAAACTTAGCAGAAAATTGAAAAGAGCATCACTCAACATCTGGTTCAACCATACTTGCCTCAACGTTTGTAATTTACCGTTTTCCTGTTAACTTTCACATCGCCTGATGATGGCAGTACGCCGAAACTATAGTCGCTGTTATTTTTAAAAACTTCAACGAATAAAACTATATAGGGAAGGTTTAGAGATTTTTGATAACATAATATATTTCAACCCCCATTTCGAGGAACGATGGATCCAACTAAAAAAAAAAACAAAAAAAAATAAGGAGACCATTTATTAAGTATATATATATATATATATATATATATATATATACATACACATCATTCTATCATTATTGCGTCCATACATTTACCAATTACGCACATTATTGCGTCCTTGGAACTATTGCGTCCGAATATCGGACGCAATAAAGGCATCGCCTGTATTTCCATGTTCCCGCCATTTTATGATTCAAATACTATCAACGAAGGATGCACTGGTTTAACAGATTGCTATAGCACAAACCAGTTTTGAGACATCTCTTGCCGTTTTCGAGATATTAAAAGATAACGAATTTTTAGTGGACGCAATAATAGATGCAATTCGTACGAAGTTGTATATTTTTAGTTCAGCACTTTGCAGCTAGGGGCGGTAAATTAGTATACGCTTTCAAGTATACGTTTTACAAAGTTGGTATATTATTGCGTCCAACATGTGGCAACACTGTAAGCTATTTATAGACATCATTTCGATAAGATAATCATCTTTTTATGTCTTAAATGAGGATAATTATTATACTCTCCATTCGGAAAGTACATTGTTGCGTCCAGATACGTTTAATTATATTGGAGCTGATCTCCAAAAATGTAACAATTCAAAAAATTCTACTCAATAAAATTGT